TTGCAATCTGTAACAGAAATATTGATCCATTCACATTCCTGTGTAAGGCATTTATGGGAAAGGCTTATGAATTAGTATTGTAAGCATTCATTATTTAAGAATGTACAATGTATTTGTGCAATTTATAGAAGTAAAATCTCAATGTTGAGACCTGTTTGGTCCAATTGACATGGATACAGCTTATTTTACTTGAAATTTTATCTGACTGATGTATTTAGCACAAATATTATACATAAGAATTTAGAATCTTTGCAATTATGAAAAAGAAAGCTTAAGTGATAAAGTTATTGGCAAGGTTGCAATGACTATGGAAAAATGGAAAGCAAATACTCAATTTAAAACAAGGAAAATCTTGTGGATTTCATATTTGATAAAACAAATTTTTCGTTAACAGGGAAAAAAACCAAAACAATTTGGCTTCCTGCTTTGATTCCCGTTACTGTGGACAGAGGATCCTTTTATGAGAAGACATTCACACCTGGAGAAGGTGAATTGGGCCAACTGGGAAGGAGGGAATTTCAGAAAGTAGCTTTGATCATCAGTGAAGATAGGAGTGAAGAATGCACAGCTGAGCATTGCTATGATGGGAAAATCCTGGGTGAGGAAGTCCAGTTCCACCGATGTTCTGCTGGACTTGAAAATGAGGCCGAGGGCCCAACCCTTTGAGGGTTTTAGACACTAGCGAGTGATTCCATGGAAGTATCCTGAATGTCCTCATGTGAGAGTATGGGATCTGCCAAGTATACAGCTACAGAGTTTCTGGACCAAGGGGATTTCCCAGAGTATGATTTCTTCTGTAATAGCATCACATCTTTTCTATTTCTTCTTCAGAATTAATGATGCAGCCTTTGAGGGAAAGAAAGATGCCCCCATGAGGAAGACCTGGCTGGAGGCCACTGAAATTAGACATTTGGGCCATTTTCCGATGATAGGAATCAACGGTGATTGCCATGGGAGTAAGGGGAAGGGGATCTTAATCAATCCCAGAGCCAGTCCCTCCATGTCTCTAAATTTGTTTACAATTAAAGAATTTAATGGCAAAGTGGACACACTTTTAAGTACATTCAAAATATCAGCTTACTCCCTGGTGTCCTATTACTGGTCATGTTCACTTCAGATGGACTTTTTCTCTACAGTCTACATTCTCACCTCCTACGCACAGGGGCTGGTGTTGCTAAAACTCTTCTCAGATGTATTGTGAAGGTCAAATTGATTGAAAAACACAGACTTGAAGCATATTGGAGAAACAGAAGGATTCAAAATTTGTCTGCGATATTGAGCTGGGAGAGTAAAAGATCTCTGTCTGTGGGGTCCTCCGTGTCACGTTCTGCGTTGGTCCTGCTGTGCTTAATATGTCAACATCGACTTGTCTGCCGAATAAACACCCAGTGGCTATCAAATATTCACTGAATACAATTGGCCAGCCACCGTGTGGTATTCTTTCAGATTTTTTTTAGCTTTACTGAGGTATGTCTGACAGAAAACATGCACATATTTAAGATGCATGGTGTGATATTCTGACACACATATACATTGTGACGTAAGTACGACACTCAAGCCCATTAACATATTCATCACCTTACATGACTACCTTTGTGTGCACACACGCACTGTGTTTGTGTGTGTGTGTGTGTGTGTGTGTGTGTGTGTGTGTGTGTGTGTGTCTAGGGTGAGAATACTTAAGATCTACCCTTTTATCAAAAAGCAAGTGCACGATACATTATTATTCTACATATTCTAGCTAAGTACTAATCTGGTAAATATAATGGTAAAGAGGTGATCATGAACAAAGACCCAAAAGCACAAAAAAGCTTGGTCCATCTGGGGACCTGGAAGTTGACTGCGGTTGCTAGAACTGAAAGTGCCAGCTCAGTAGTGGGAAATGAGGGGAGAGATACAAGAAATTCTTGAGTAATTCATTAAGCTAACAGATCTTCCCCTTCCAGGAGATACTAAGCAGAGAAGTGAGGCTTATATGGTGATCACAGAATTTGTCACCCAAATGATGACATAATGACAATAAATGAAAAATGAAACTTTTCTAGCCATGCTGTGCTGATGGGCATCCTACAGATGAGGGTGAACTAAGTCAGTCCGGGAGGTGGTATGGAGAATGGATGGGAAGGATGGGAAGACGAAAGCCACTCTTACACTCCAGATGGGAATTGGTGAGCAGGGGAGAGATATACTTGTAATTAAAATTAGCAAGTTGAGTGAATAGAGCTTGGATATTTTGAGGTGTGATGAGGGTAAAAAAAAAAGAGGGGGAAATCAAACTCTTTGTCTTAGGTCTTTGATCAATGAACACTCTGAACTAATGACAGGTTAAGGAATGGAACACATTCAGGGATGAAAGTACCTACAAGGTGATAATTGAGTTCCGCCTATCCTGAAGCTGGAAAACAATGGTATACACATGTCTAATTCAGAGATATGCCTGTAAAAGTATAATGAAGAGAAAATGCCAAAAATAAACTTAGGGACATGTACTACTTTGCACGTATGTCATGAACGTCCAGGTTTACTGTTCAGATCAGTGATCGGCCATTTTCTCTGCCCATGGCATTGGAATACACTTGCTTTGCAATTATCTTGAGTATATTCCTGAGATGATTATCTTTCATTCCCCACCAGTTCACCATCTGTCCTCCACTCCGACTTGTGTGGACTATATTGATGGGTATCTGGCCCTCTAGATCTGTTTGGACTTTGCCCATGGACATCGCTCACAGGAGCCTAGGAGGGAGGAAGGTTAGGGCAGAGTTTGATCTTCTCCACTCCCCCTGGTAGGCCACAGGTGCTGGGTTGCAAACCTCTATTGTGGCCACAGCTTCTATCAGGTGGGCCTCTCTAGCAGACACCACCTTCAGATTCAA